ACCACTATACTCCAGCCTGGGAGACAGAGTGAGATCCTGTCTCAAAAAAAAAAAAAAAGAAAAAAGAAAAATTAAAGCATATGATCCAATATGATCTAATAATATCACTTCTGGGTATGTATACAAAAGAACTGAAAGCAGGGATTCCCCAGATTTGTACACCAGTGCTCACAGCAGCATTGTTCACAATAGCCAAAAGGCAGAAACAGCACCAGTGTTACCATCAACAGATGCATAGACCAAAAAAACGTGGTGTGTACATATAAAGGAATATTATTCAGCCGTTAAAAGGAATGAAATTCTGCTACATGCTACAACACGAATGAACCTTAAAAACATAATGCCAAGTGTAACAAGTCAGAAACAAAAAGACAAATACTGTATGATTCCACTTATACAAGACACCTGAAGCAGAGTAGTCAAATTCATACAGACAGAAAATAGAACAGTGGTTTTTGGGGGCTAAAGAAGAGGGAGCGGACTGGGTGTGGTGGCTCACGTCTATAATCTCAGCACTTTGGGAGGCCAAAGCATGTGGATCACAAGGTCAGGAGATCAAGACCATCCCGGCTAACACAGTGAAACCCCATCTCTACTAAAAATACAAAAAAATTAGCCAGGCATGGTGGCACCTGCCTGTAGTCCCAGCTACTTGGGAGGCTGAGGCAGGAGAATCACTTGAATCTGGGAGGTAGAGGTTGCAGTGAACTAAGATCGAGCCACTGCACTCTACCCTGGGTGACAGAGCAAGACTCCATCTCAAAAACAACAACAACAACAAACAAACAAGAAAAAAGAGAGCAATGCGAAGTTATTATTTAATGGGTATGGAGTTTTGGTTTGGGATGAAAAAGTTCTGGAGGTGTATGGTGGTGATGTACTTTTGTGAATGTACTCAATACCATTGAATTATACACTTAAAAGTGGTTAAGTTTTGCGCAGGTGCAGTGGCTCTCGCCTATAATCCTACTATTTTGGGAGGCCAAGGTGGCCAGATCACTTGAGCTCAGCAGGAGTTCGAGATCAGCCTGATAAACAGGGTAAAACCCTGTCCTCATCTAAAAAAAACAGAAAAAGCAAAATGCTAAATTTATATTGTATGTATTTTACCAATTTTTTTTTTTTTTAACCCTGAGCCCCAGCTACTCAGGAGGCTGAGGCAGGAGAATCGCTTGAACCTGGGAGGTAGAGGTTGCAGCAAGCTGAGATCATGCCACTGCCTCCAGCCTGGGCAACACAGTGAGACTCCATCTCAAAAACAAAACTAAACAAAACACCTGACGCCAAATAAACTTGTCCATTATGAATTTACAGGCCCTCTCTGCCTCCAACTCACCTTTTTCTACTCTTCCTACCTCCCTGTGGTATTCAAAACTGTTTTATTGTATATCCTCTTCTCTCATCTTCACTTTCAGATACTTCAAACATCTGACCTCATGATTTGTTTGGGGTTTTTTTTTTGAGACATCTCGCTCTGCCACTGAGGCTGGAGCACAGTGGTGCCATCTCGGCTTGCTGTAACCTCCAACTCTCAAGCGCAAGCAATCCTCTAGCCTCAGCCTCTCGAGTAGCTGGGACTACAGACACGTGCCACCATGTCTGACTAATTTTTACATTTTTTGTACAGATGGGGTTTTGCCATGTTGCCCAGGCTAGTCTCAAACTCAAGCAATCTGCCCACCTCAGCCTCCCCAAATGTTGGGATTTACATGGGTGAGCCACTGCACCTGGCAGCCTCACAGTTTTTTAGTCTCAAGTTACACCTCTCAGTCACAGCTTGACCTCTCACTTCCCACCACAACCTCATTCCTGGATCTGCATTTCCACCATCACAAAAAAGAAAATCCAAAGGCCTTAATCTGGTCTACAACTTGACTCAAGCCTCTATCTACCACATACACAATGATGATGTCAGCTCCTGCTACCTTCTCCCTCACTTACTTCAATACAGCCACACTGGCCCTCTTGCAGCTCATAAAACATATCAAGCACAGTCCAGCCTCAAACACTTTGTATTTAAGTTCCTTCAGTCTAAAATGCCCTCCCCATCCTGTCCAAAATACCCAGAGGGCCTGCTCCCTCACTTCATTTAGAGCTGTCAGCTCAAATGTCACCTAATCAGAGAGGTCTTCCCTAACTTCACCTTAGTAAACATACCCCTCCTTCATCAATGAATACTTTTCCCTAATATATTTCCATACCTTAATGACAATGGCAAACAAGGTGTAAATCTTCAAAAGAGCACTTATCACTACCCAACATATTATATAGGAAGCCTCCCATAACCATGTGTTCTGCATTGCTCACGCCTGTAATCCCAGCACTTTGGGAGACAGAGGCAGGCAGATCACCTGAGGTCAGGAGTTAGAGACCGGCCTGGCCAACATGGTGAAACCCAATCTCCACTAAAAATACAAAATTAGCCAGGCATGGTGGTGCGCACCTGTAATCCCAGCTACTTGGGAGGCTGAGGCAGAAGAATCATTTGAACCAGGGATGCGAAGGTTGTAGTAAGCTGAGGTTGCACCACTGCACTCCAGCCTGGGCAACAAAGTGAAATTCGGTCTCAAAAAAATTTAAAAAAAAAAAAAAAAAAAAAAAAAAAGAATATATTGGATGGGGTAGTGGTTCTGTTGTGCCTGTACTAAATAGGTACAGACTTTTTTCTACTGTCATTATTCCCTAAACAATACAATAACAGCTATTAAAAGGCATTTACATTGTATTAGGTATATAATTTATTTTCATTTTCCAAGATACCTTGAGATGATTTTTGCTTTTTGAGATGGAGTCTCAGTCTGTTGCCCAGGCTGAAGTGCAGTGACACAATCTTGGCTCACTGCAACCTCCACCTCCAGAGTTCAAGCGATTCTCCTGCCTCAGCCTCCCAAATAGCTGGGATTACAGGCCTGTGCCACCACATCTGGCTAATTTTTGGTTTTTTTAGTAGAGAATGGATTTCACCATGTTGGCCAGGCTGGTCTTGAACTCCTGACCTCAGGTGATCCGCCTGCCTCAGCCTCCCAAAGTGCTGGATTACAGGCGTCAGCCACCCCGCCCAACTGAGAGAAATTTTTTTTAAGAAAATGGGGTCTCAATCTGTCACCCATGCTGGAGTCCAGTAACGTGATCACTTCTGGGCTCAAGTGATCCTCCTGCCTCAGCCTCCTGATGGGGTTGCAGGTGTAAGCCACCATGCTCACCCAGCAAGAGGTAATTTAAAGTATACAAGAGGATATGCATAGGTTGTATTGCAAAGACTATACAATTTTATATCAGGAACTTGAGCATTTCTGGATTTTGGTATCTGCAAGGGTCCTGGAAACAATTCCCCACAGATAGCACAGAGGACTATATATTTATTGTTTATCTTCTCTGTCCACATCAGAATATCAACTCCATGAGAAATGGGCCTCTGTTTTTGTTCACTATTATAACCCTAGCAGCCAGCAGAGTTCTTGGTATATTAGTAGATGCTCGGTAAACATGTACTCAATAAATAATGGCCTCCCGTGTCTTGATGCATCCCCTTTATCAATTTTGCATTTCATAGACAGTTATTTCAACTACCAGTGTCAAATTTCTCATATTCACCTAAAAGGTTATGCTAGCTATATTCATACTGCCTGATATGTCATGCTAGCTTATATCAAACTAGGCCTTTACTATTGCTCAGCAATCCTTTCTATTCTATCCTGGTGGTCACATTAAGTTTCGCCACCATCACCTACAGCCTGGTCAATTTCAACAGCCTCTTAATTGACCTTTTGTTTCCACTCTGTACCTATAATTCACCTTCAATAAAGCAGTCAGAGGACTCTAAGGCATATACATCATATCATATCACTTTTATGCTTAAAAGCTCACAAGATGTCAGGCACAGTGGCTCATGCCGATAATCACAGCACTTTGGAAGGCCAAGGTGGGTGGATCACCTGAGATCTGGAGTTCAAGACCAGCCTGGCCAACATGGTGAAACCCTATCTCTACTAAAAATACAAAAAATTAGCCGGGCATGGTGGTGGGCGCCTTTAATCCCAGCTACTTGGGATGCTGAGGCAAGAGAATCGCTTGAACCCGGGGGGCAGAAGTTGCAGTGAGCTGAGATTGCACGATTGCGCTCCAGCCTGAGCAACAAGAGCGAAACTACATCTGAGGGAAAGAAAAAAAAAAAAAACTCGCAAGACTTCTTTGAGTCTAAACTCCTTACCACAGCCACATGGCACTACGTGGCCTTATTCTGCCTACTTCTTCAATCTTAAATTTTTTTACGAGATAGGGGCTTACTATGTTGCTCAGGCTGGTTTCAAACTCCTAGCCTCAAGCGATCCTACTGCTTTGGCCTCCCAAAGTGCTGGGATTACAGATGTGAGCCACTGTGCCTGGCCTACTTCTTTAATCTCATTTCATGACACTATGGTCCTCATCCACCCTATTGCAGAAACACTGGAATTCTTTCCATTCCTCAAACATAATCAGCTCATTTCCACCTTGAGGTTTAAACTTACACAGCATGTTTGTTTTTTTTGTTTTGTTTTTTTAGCTTGGCTAAATTCTCGTCTTTCAGAACTTAATGTCATCTCCTCAGAAGAAGACAACCAGTCACTATCAACTGCCCTATTTTAATTCTTTTCATATCACATTACAATTTTCTATTGTTCTTGTTCACGCCAATGATTTGCTCCACAAGAACACTTAGTCTTGTCTACAAGACTGCCTGGCACAATACAGGTGGTCAATAAATATTTGGTGAATTTGGTAGCTGCCCTACAATGATTTTCCTAAATGCTTTCTTCTCCCAGGATCCCAACCTCACCACTGATTAACTATATGCTAAATAGATAACCTCAATCCCTACATTATTAAAAAAGTAAGATTAAGAAATCCTACAGTTAGCTGGGTATGGTGGCACACACCTGCAGTATTAGCTACTCAGGAAGCTGAGGTGGCAAGACTGCATGAGCCCAGGAGTTCAAGGTTGCAGTGAGCTATAACTGCACCACTGCACTCCAGCCTGGGCAACAGAGTATGACCTGCTGGAAGGGAGAGGGAGAGAAAGGGAAGGAGAAAAGAAGTCCTACAGCTTCTTCCTCTTTGCCTGAAAATTCCTTGACATATCCTCTCTTCCAGTCCTCTAGTTTCTAAGCAGAAAAATTGCTACTCTTGTAAGAGCTATGCCCTTTACCTACGTCTTTGATCTAAAAGTTCTTACCTTCTCAGAGTAAAATCTTAATCACTCTCTTTAATATTTAAACTACATGCAAGCTGAGAAAAGTGGCTCACACCTGTAATCCTGGCATTTTGGGAGGCCGAGGCAGGAAGATCACTTGAGCTCAGGAGTTCGACAGCAGCCTGGCCAACATGGTGAAAACCCATCTTACAAAACGTACAAAATTAGCCAAGCATGGTAGTGAACACCTACAGTCTCAGCTACTTGGGAGGTGGGTGGATTGCTTAAGCCCAGGAGGTCGAGGCTGCAATGAGCCAAGATCCCACCACTGCACTCCAGCCTGCTGACAGACCAAGACTCTGTCTCAAAATAAATAAATAAAATACATGCAAATGGATCATTCCCATTTACCCAAAATATACCACTTGGTAATGCTAAAGTATCTAGCAGGCAATATACCCCCAGGCAGGGAGTACGTCTGTCCTATTAACAGTATAACTAGGATAGATCACATTTATTGTCCAAACCAGTAAACTTGAGAGTAAAGGACAGCATTAAAAATAACTGCGCATTAAAAATGCCGGGCATGGTGCCTCACGCGTGTAATCCCAGCACTTTGGGAGGCTGAGGCGGGCGGATCATGAGGTCAAGAGATCGAGACCATCCTGGTCAACATAGTGAAACCCTGTCTCTACTAAAAAAATACAAAAATTAGCTGGGCGTGGTGGCACACGCCTGTAGTCCCTAGAGCTACTTGGGAGGCTGACGCAGGAGCATTGCTTGAACCCAGGAGGCAGTGAGCCAAGACCGCGCCACTGCACTCCAGCCTGGCGCCTGGTGACGCAGCGAGTCTCTGTCTCAAAAAATAATAATAACTAGTCTTTAGGCCAGGCGCAATGGCTCATGCCTGTAATCAATCCCACTAGCACTTTGGGAGCCCAAGGCAGGCAGATCACCTGAGGTTAGGAGTTCAAGACCAGCCTGGCCAACATGATGAAACCCCATCTCTACTAAAAATACAAAAATTAGCCGGGTTTGGTGACTCACACCTATAATCCCAACTACTTGGGAGGCTAAGGCAGGAGAATCACTTGAACCCGGGAGGCGGAGGTTGCAGTGAACTGAAATTGCACCATTGCACTCCAGCCTGCATGACAGAGCAAGACTCCATGTCAAAAAAATAAAAATACGCCGGGTGCGGTGGCTCAGGCCTGTAATCCCAGCACTTTGGGAGGCCGAGGCGGGTGGATCACGAGGTGAAGAGATCGAGACCATCCTGGTCAACATGGTGAAACCCCGTCTCTACTAAAAAAAAAAACTAAACAATTAGCTGGGCATGGTGGCGCGTGCCTGTAGTCCCAGCTACTCAGGAGGCTGAGGCAGGAGAATTGCCTGAACCCAGGAGGCGGAGGTTGCGGTGAGCCGAGATTGCGCCATTGTACTCCAGCCTGGGTAACAAGAGCGAAACTCCGTCTCAAAAAAATAAATAAATAAAAATACAAATACAAATAACTGGGCAGGCCAGGAGCAGTGGCTCACACCTGTAATCCTAGCACTTAGGGAGGCTGAGGCAGGTGGATCATGGGGTCAGGAGATAGAGACCATCCTGGCTAATACAGTGAAACCCTGTCTCTACTAAAAATACAAAAAAAAAAATTAGCCGGACATGGTGGCACGTGCTGTAGTGTCAGCTACTCGGGAGGCCGAGGCAGGAGAATCGCTTGAACCCGGGAGGCGGAGGTTGTGGTGAGCCGAGATCCCACCACTGCACTCCAGCCTCGGTGAGAGAGCCAGACTCCATCTCAAAAAAAAAAAAAAAATAGAATAAATAACAACTGGGCATGAACTGATCTACAAAGAGATTTGAACCAGGATATATGACTACCCTAACTATAACTCCAGTGCTTAAGGAAGTAATGGCTGCATCTATGATACCTATGGGTTTAATACATGAATTAGCTGAAATATTTGGGTTTTATCACCTCCTTTTTACTCTTCACTCCATTGCAAGCTGCTTTTCAGCCATAAACAGCCTCCTGAAACGGCTCCTGCTAGGATCATCAATGAATTCCTAACTGCCAAATCCAAAAAAGTTTCTTCAGTTTTCAATTAACCTGTCTGAAGAGCTTGCAACACTACTGACCTTTCTGTTTCATGAAGCTCTGTTCTTAACTGCAGGAAACATAATCCTCAATAACAGACTATCTTCAAATAAGACCTAGCATCCCCCCTACTCTCACTCCCTACCTCATAGGTTAACTAAAAAATGTATAATCTAACCAATATTAATAATTAAAAATACAAAATTGGATACTTACCTAAGAATGATTGCCCCCATTTCAGTCTTTTAGGAAAACAGATGCCATTACTTATTTTTTTAAAGTGATGTTTTCATGGAAGACTTTTTCCCGTTAGAACATATACTACAAAAAAGATTGAAGACAAAAGTATTAATCTAAATAGGCTAAATTAAGTCAGGTAAATTTTATTACTTATATAATTAATCATTTGTTAATGCTACACATTTAAAAACATGTAGGTTGAAGATCTAATGAGATTGAAGATCTATTCCTTTGCTCTCAGATTTTGGCCATTTTCTTATTGGATTGTCTTTTTCTAATTAATTAGTAGACTTTATATAGTCAGCACCAGGACAGACAACATAATTTGCAGAGCCCAGTGCAAAATAAAAATGTGAGGCCTCAGGGCTGAGTAACCCAAAAAAAAAAAAAAAAAACGTGAGGCCTTGGGGTTTCCCTTTCTCCACTTTGGAGCATCCCTCCCTTTGTCTCTGTACAGGGGAGCTGCTTCTTTCTTTCTTCCCCCTACTTTCTTGCCTATTAAACTCCCTGCTCCTTAAAACTAAAAACAAAGTAAAACAAAACAAAACAAAAAAAACTAACGCCTTTTCACCAAGATGGCACCAAAAGAGAAAGAGGAAGCCCCTGCCTCTCCCAAAGCTGAAGCCCAAAGGCTAAAAGCCAAAAAACACACTGCTGAAAGATATCTGTATGCTACCCATCTTTAGGCTGCCCCAAGACAGTACAGCCAAAATATCCTAGGAAGAGCACTCCCAAGAAAAACAGGCTTAACACTGGCCAGTGAGAAGACGGAAGACAACACTACACTTGCATCAGTTGTGTATGTCAAACTCAACAAGCATCAGATCAAACAGGCTGTGAAGAAGCTCTAAGACACTGACATGGCCAAGGTCAACACCAGGATCAGGTCTGACAGAGAGAAGGCATATGTTCAACAGATTCCTGACTTTGAAAAAAAGATGCTTTGAACGCTGCCAACAAAACTGCAATAACCTAAATTGAGTTCAGCTGGCAAATTCCAAACATAAATTTTTCACCATAAAAACACTTTAAAATAGGTAAATAAAGACGTTGGGCCACTTTTTCAAAAATTAAGAATTTCAAGACAGTGACAGGTGTCACTAATAATAAACTAATAAACTAAGCACAGGGACCATCTACATGAGGGGTCCTGTGTGACTGCACAGACTGCACGCCCATGCAGCCAGCCCTGGTCAGGACACTAATTCCCTGTTACATATATTACAATTATTTATCCCAAAATATGTGGCATGTTTTCACTTTATGGTGTCTTTTGATGAAAATGAATTTTTTTAAATGAGAGGAACGTTATAAAACAAACTTTAGAATAATTTCAAAGTACATAAAGCTGATTGCTTCCCCAAAAGTAAGAGAATTGGTGAACTCAAAAATAACAAACTTGTTTATTCAGGATGTTGATGTTGATAGTGGGGGAGGCTATGCATGTGTGGGTACAGTTATGACTGTGTGGGGTATATGTGAAAACTCTCTGTACCCGCTGCTCAATTTTGCTGTGAATCTAAAACTACTCTTAAGAATAAAATCCAGGGCCAGGAGTGGAGGCATGTGCCTGTGTCCAGTTACTCAGAGGCTGAGGTGGGAAGATCACTTGAGTACAGGAGGCCGAGGTTGCAGTGAACCAAGATCACACCACTGCACTCCAGCCTGGGCAAAAGAATGACGCCCTGTCTCAAAAAAAAAAAAAAAAAATACTGTATACTCTATGGAAAGACTGTCTGTGTCATCTCTATTGCTAAGTGAAAAACACTGTGTAAGGGGGAAGGTGGGAAGACATTTGCAAAATAACAGTTATAATATGCTACCCTTGAGATTGGTGGATTTTTGGGTAAAGACAGAAAGAACAAGAATCTGTAATTATTTATTTATTTATCTATCTGTTTTTGTTTTTGAGGCAGTCTAACTCTGTTGCCCAGCCTGCAGTGCAGTGGCACAACTACAGCTCACTGCAGCCTAGACCCCCCCCCGGGCTCAGGTGATCCTCCACCTCAGCCTCCCAAGTAGCTGGGACTACAGACATGCACTAAGACCCTCGGCTAATTTTTCTATTTTTTTGTAGAGACAGGTTTTACCACATAGCCCAGGCTGGTCTTGAACTCCTGGGATCAAGCAATCTGCCTGCCTCAGTCTCCCAAAGTTCTGAGATTACATGCCCAAGCCACTGTACCTGGTCAGAATCTGTATTTTTATTGTCTTTACTTATATAAAGAAACTCTAGAAAGTTACATGAGAAACTGAAAAATAGTTTTCTGGTGGGGTGGAATGCTGGAGGAATGGTGTGATTAGAAACAGGGTAGCTGATACTCAGGAGGCTGAGGCAGGAGAATTGCCTGAACCCAGGAGGCGGAGGTTGTGGTGAGCCAAGACAGCGCCATTGCACTCCAGCCTGGGTAACAAGAGCGAAACTCCGTCTCAAAAAAAAAAGAAACAGGGTAGCTGAGAGATATGGAAAGAGACTTTCCACTGTTTACGTTTTTGTATTTAAAAGTATTTCTAACTCCGGGAGATACTACAATACATAGATTAGTAAATAAATGAACCAAAATAGGGCCTAAATACTATCAACACAAACACGCAGTAACAGGAACTATTCTTTTACTGTCTCTGAAATTAAGACCTTAGCACTGCCCATCTCACTAAAGTCACCAACCCAAGATCTCTAATACTAGTTCCCTTGAAAAAGGATATTTTCTCCATAATTCCATGTTGCTTCTCTCAGCGTTAAGGGTCAACTTTTTCTCCCCTAGCTATACAAAGCCTCATGTCTCTTCTGAACAAAAGCCTCACCAAGCCAGGCACAGAGGTGTAAGCCTGTAATACAGTTACTTGGGAGGCCAGAAGATCACTTGAGCCCATAAATTCAAGACCAGCCTGGGCAACATGGCGAAACACTGTGTCTACTAAAAATACAAAAATTAGCTGGGCATGATGGCGTATGCCTGTAATCCCAGCTCCTTGGGAGACTGAGGCTATGTTGCTCCAATATCCTCCAAATTTTTCTCTCTGCTTCAAATCTTACCTCCCTACAATTAATCTGCACCAGATCAACCAGAATGCACCATGTACAGCATAAATCAGATCATGGGAATAATCTGCTTAAAACCTTCCAAAGGCTTCCTGTTGTGACCCTACCTGAATTACAACTATGAACTACGAAGACTCTATATGATATTAAAAATGACCTACCTACAGAGACTCTATATGATCTGGTATCTGTCTACAACTAGCCTCATCTTCTTTTTTTGTTTGTTTGTCTGTTTTTTGAGACAGAGTCTTGCTCTATCACCCAGCCTGCTGTGCAGCAGCATGATCACGGTTCACTCCGGCCTCAACCTCCTAAACTCTAGGGATCCTCCCACCTCAGTCTCCTGAGTAGGTGGGACTATAAGCGTGCACCACACCTGCCTAATTTTTGTTATTTTCTGCAGAGATGGGGCTTTGCCATGTTGCCAAAGCTGGTCTTGAACTCCTGGGCTCAAGCAATCCACCTGCCTTGGCCTCCCAAAATGCTGGGATTACAGGCATAAGCCACCATGTCAGGCCCTGATGGACCTACTTTCCTCTTCATTCAATTACCCTCTAGCCTTACTGGTATATTGTCTTTTCCTCACACTTTGTTCCTAATTTAGGGCTCTTGTACACGCTGTTCTTCAGCTTGCAATGTGCTGCCCCCAGGTCTTCTGCCACTTCATAACATTTATGTTTTAACTCAAAAGTTGCCTTTCCTAAGAGGCATTTTATACAGCTCCACAGTTAAGACAGCAACCAACGTCATAATCTACCACATTACTTTATCATCTTTAAAATATTTACTAATGCTCACAGTTCTCATTTACTAATATAAATGTTTCTTTTTTTTTTTTTTTTTTTTTGAGACAGAGTTTCGCTCTTGTTACCCAGACTGGAGTGCAATGGCGCGATCTCGGCTCACCGCAACCTCCGCCTCCCGGGTTCAGGCAATTCTCCTGCCTCAGCCTCCTGAGTAGCTGGGATTACAGGCACGCGCCACCATGCCCAGCTAATGTTTTGTATTTTTAGTAGAGACGGGGTTTCACCATGTTGACCAGGATGGTCTCGATCTCTTGACCTCGTGATCCACCCGCCTCGGCCTCCCACAGTGCTGGGATCACAGGCTTGAGCCACTGCGCCCAGCCTTATAAATGTTTCTTTTATTGAAGAATAGGAAAAGTCTTGAGGATAGCTGTTAATTCATAAAAATATATTTTTTTTTTCAACAGAGTCTTTGTCACCCAAGCTGGAGTGCAGTAGTGCAATCATGGCTTACTGCAACCTTGACCTCCTGGGCTCTAGGAAATCCTCCCACTTCAGCCTCTTGAGTAGCTGGGACTACAGGCGTGTGCCACCACACCCAGTTATTTTTGGGGGATGGGGTAGGGATAGGGTTTACTATGTGGTTCAAGCAGTCCCAAGCTTGAGGGCTCAAGCAATCGTCCTACCTCAGATTCTGAAAGTGCTGGGATTACAGGCTTGAGCCACTGCACTCAGCTACAACTCTATTATTTTATTGATTGATTGATGGAATTTCACCCTGTCACCCAGGCTGGAGTGCAGTGACGCAATCTGGGTTCACTGCAACCTCCACCTCCCAGATTCAAGCTTTTCTACTGCCTCAGCCTGCCATGTACGTGGGATTACAGGTGTGTGTCACCACGCCCAGCTAATTTTTGTACTTTTAGTAGAGATGGGGTTTTGTTATGTTGGCCAGGCTGGTCTCGGACCTCCTGACCACAGAAAATCTGCCTACCTACACCTCCCAAAGTGCTGGGATTACACTCATGAGCCACCATGCCTAGCCTGTTTTTTAACTTTTCTATTAAATCTCAGGTATTTCAAAATCACGTACATATAAATTCCACACCAAAAAAGAATAGGCTGGGCATGGTGGCTCACACCTATAATCCCAACACTTCCGGAGGCCGAGGCAGGTGGATCACAAGGTCAGGAGATCAAGACCATCCTGGCTAACATGGTGAAACCCCATCTTTACTAAAAATACAAAAAAAATTAGCTGGGCATGGTGGCACATGCCTGTAGTCCCAGCT